AGTTGTGTCAATCATGAACAAGTGATTAACCTTACTGACTGGAGTACCATTAGTTGTATCAATCATGAACAAGTGATTAACCTTACTCACAATAGTACCATAAGTTGTAAATCACTTGTTCATGATTGACAATAAACCTTACTGACAAGAGTACATTAGTTGTATCAATCATGAACAAGTGATCAATAAACCTTAACACATAACAGGAACCTTACTGACAAGAGTACCATTAGTTGTATCAATCATGAACAAGTGATCAATAAACCTTACTGACAAGAGTACATTAGTTGTATCAATCATGAACAAGTGATCAATAAACCTTAACACATAACAGGAACCTTACTGACAAGAGTACATTAGTTGTGTCAATTATTAACAATGTTAAGGTTTATTGATCTCTATAACAGGAACCTTACTGACAAGACTAACATTAGTTGTATCAATCATGAACAAATGATTAACAAACCTTAACACATAACAGGAACCTTACTGACAAGACTAAAAAGTTAGTCTTGTCAGTAAGGTTCTTGTAATGTGTTAAGGTTTATTGATCACTTGTTCATGATTGACACAACTAATGTTAGTTTTGTCAGTAAAGTTCCTGTTATGTGTTAAGGTTTGTTAATCATTTGTTCATGATTGATACAACTAATGGTACTCTTGTCAGTAAGGTTCCTGTTATGTGGTAAGGTTTATTAATCATTTGTTTATGATTGATACAACTAATGTTAGTATTGTCAGTAAGGTTCCTGTTATGTGTTAAGGTTTATTAGTCACTTGTTCATGATTGATACAACTTATGGTACAGTTGTGTCAATCATGAACAAATGGTTAACAAACCTTTAACACATAACAGGAACCTTACTGACAAGACAAACATTAGTTGTATCAATCATGAACAAATGCTTAACAAACCTTTAACACATAACAGGAACCTTACTGACAAGACTAACATTAGTTGTATCAATCATGAACAAATGGTTAACATTGAAAGAACAATAAATTCTTATGCTGCAAACATGAACTTAAGGTAGCATAGTCCCTTTAAATATAAAAAAAAATATCACAATTTATTTTGATTTAATTTTCAGTAGTTTTCCTTCGTTCAGACTTATTTTTCACGTCCCATCAAAGCCTGGACCCATTTTCAGGGGCATTCAGTCATGTTTGCAGAAGTTATCAGGGACATAAGACATATATCTTGTATTTTTTTATTCTTACAATATGTAATTTAGCCACAGTGATAATGTTGCACAACATGTGCCAGAATATGTCTTTATACCTATTTCAATATATTTTCATGCAGAAAGCATAGTATGAAGACGTTTTTTCTAATTAAAATGCCAAAATCTAGATACCACTATGTAAAGGGTATGTGATACATTAAACTGGACAGACTGTTTTTGTAAACAAACCAAAAATTACTTACTCAAAAAGTCCATCATCAGTTCTTTCCTGCACCTGTGACTAAAATCATGATAGTAAGATTTTAAACTCAATCAAATTTGTTTAACTTTTGATCAATCATACTTAATGTTTTTACAAAATCAAAAATGGACATGATAATCAAGGCTTACTAAAACTCCAAAAATTAAACTGAGGGTATAGTTTTCAGACTGATAAGTTAAGAACAAAAAGGTATTGGACATATATAATAGATAAATTAAACTACATTCTCATTCATTTTGTCCAAAATAATATGACTGTAGAAAGATATCAAAAGCACATCACAATAATTTTTTTACATGAAATGAAATGCTTGTTTTTTTAACTTTAAAATACATTATACACAAATACATTTATTTTAGGATGTAAAAACCATGGTTTGAAATTTGATTAAGGACCACCTTTTAGGAACTATAGTTACCACTCTTAAGAAGAGCTTATGAGTTAATTTCTTTACCATCAGTCTAGAAATTGTTAGTTTAAACATGCTTACTATTCTTTGTTTGAAACAACAAGTTTCATCTCATTCATTTATAATATATGTTAATTAACTGGTTTCCAAAAGCCAAACTGGATAATAAAATTAAAGATCGAATGTTAACATTTTTCTTACATTGAAAATGTATTTCGAATAGGTACTTACCTCCTCTATAAGTGCACCAGTCTATATACCCAATCAATTTTGCAAGTGCATATCATGTAACCACCCTCCACCAATACTATTGCACCACCTATATTGGCATAGCTAGCTCCCTTTGCTATTCCCACTCAATCTTCAATTTTGAGAATTGGCTGACTCCAAAAGAAGAACAACAACAGTGGAGAGGAAGGGTGGGAAGTGGGTGAGAACAGGTAAATACCTATTGAAAATACATTTTCAGCGTAAGAAAAATATTAACTCTGATATAGTTTTACTTCTTCTCACAGAAAGCTAGAATCCCACATTACAAAGGTGGAGGGGCCGATGTAGGTGCACAAAATTGAAAACAAGCAGAACGCAACTGCCCAGACTGAACAGGTGTGCTCTGTGATGAAAACGAAGCACACTTATGGTGTACAGCACTTCTTCTAGAACAGGTATGCTCTTTACCCTGGACATAGGAAAGGAATCTGATACAGGTGGAAAAAAGAATGTGCACAAGTGTAATTTGTTGTGAGAGGTATAATCCATAGCAAAAGATAAACAGAATTAGCTATGTACATTCACAACTTCAACAGGACAGACAAGGTTCCATAACTTGTCCTCAGCATTAGGAGGTGGGGGAAGAAAAAAAAATTGTAATGTCAAGACAGTGACTAGGGTATGTGTACCGTGTTATACATATCCATCAACCCCAACTGTAAGTAAGTGTCATACATCATGCAACTGGAACTACTAAGAGGAAGCAAGCTTTTGGCCAAAACTATCATAGGAGCAATAATTACAACAAACCAAACCTGGGATTACGGGGTTGTGGCATTGCCTCAACTCAACCGTAAGACAGGGTAATATCCATAACCAGTATTATGAACAAATTAATAACCCACTCAACTGTAAATGAAGGGAAGAGACATCCTGAATCTGGAATTACGAGGAGAACATGGAATATTCTCTCAACCATAGGAACAGTGTACATACATCCTATTGTTAGTATTATGAGGCAGATGAAGTCTCCCAAGCTCAACTGTAAGAATTAATGAGAAGAGAGGTCTCTAATGCACACAACTGTAGGAACAGGGTGGTTTAATCCTAAACCTGGTATTACGAGGAGGATCCCACGTAGGCTGGACCTGCTCCAACTAACATCTGTCCACCTGGAAAAAACATCCAGAAGAAACTAGAGGAGGGGAAACCAGCTTGGCCCTCCTCTCACTGGGTGAATAATTATAAGTAGGTATGATAAAGTAAGTTCTAAACTCATTCAGGAGGAAGCCTCCATGGTCCAGCAACTGGGAACTGGTAAGGACTCCCGTGCTCCACTAGAAGAAGAAAAAAAAGGGGGTGGGTAAATGTGGTGGAGATCCCAGGGGAACATTACACTGGAGAAAGTGCAATGGGTGTCTGCAATTCCCTATTTTGAAAAGCAGACTGACCCAGATTTATTCAATCCATGAATCAACAGGGATGGGCAGAAATCCCCATCTGCTTTACTCGTGAAGTCCATGAGTGACAGTACACCACTGAGTTGAAAGTTATTTATATCTAAAAACATATATATACCACTGGTTATGCCACTAGTGGTCTTGCAGAAAGCAGAAACCTCTCATTTCTACAGTGAGCATTATAGTGGAATCAGTAAATAGTGCAGGTTTTAGGCAAAACATACCTGACCAGCCAACACCATCACAGAGTAGGATCTGATCATCAGTGGTTAAAACTAGGGTTGCTAAAAATAAAAACAGAAGTGCTAAGACTTACCCCAATCAAAGGTGAACAGACATGTGTAGAATCGCTACAGAAGGGAGATGGTATATACCAGAGGAATCTACAGCTAGATCATGCAGATAATGAGTGACAAAGGTATTGGGAGTAGTCCAGCTTCCAGCCTGGATGATTTCCTCCAATGGACTGCAAAGACGAGAAGGGAAAGATATGGTGATATGATGAAGATGATGGGAAGAAACATTGTAGAAATGGATGCATAGGTCCAAATAAGCCAATCAACGAGTTGACGAACCCAACCAGTTAACTTCATAAGGCACAGCTCATGGGAAACGGAAAGGTTCCAGGGAATAAAAGTTGAGAACTTGCACCCCCTAAAGGAGGCAGGACATGCTATATAAAAACTGTATGAAGTAAACCAGATAAAGAAGCCAATCAGGATCATAATGGAAGTACCAGTGGGAGATGGAAGTTAAAGAAGTGGATGTGAAAGCAAAACAACCTTCACAGGCAGCATAGTTTAAGGGAGGAAGGACTGGTTGGGATATAGTATGACATAAGAGGAATGGTAGAGTAAGAAAGGAACATTAAAGGTAGAAATATCTGATCAACAATGTCCACAAGTAAGTAGGAGAAGGAAATAAGTCTTGAGGGAGAGAAGGTACAGGGAACATGAAGACAAGACAACACTGAGATCCCAATCAGGTAAATCATGGAATGTGGAGGATACATGACTTGAAAAGAGCAGAAAAAGGAGAGAAATGACAGGGGAAATCAAAACCAGACAAAACATGAAGAAAAGGAACATGTCTGACAAGACCATCTGATAGCTAGAGACGGTCAAAGTGGACAAGACTTTGTCAAAGAACCAGGTGAAGAAAAGGAAAAGATGAGGAATGGTAGGAAGGTAGGAAACCATGTCAGACAGACCAAAGGTAAAAGGTATACCATCTCCGGTGGTAAATGGATATGGTAAAAAGGCTAATGGATCAGAAAAGGAAAGATGCAACATATGAAGTCAATCCCTGGGTTGAGACATTGGACCTGACAAAAGTCATGTATGAAGACAGAGTATGGAGACACCTGGATGAACACTGTCTGACTGAGATCGACAGAGGTAAGGGTAGATGAGGTTGTACAAGGAAAGGTCGGAGCAGTGGGAATGATGCTTGTGCTGGCCAAGATGGAGCCACCAGTAGAACAAGACCCAGAGTGGCTTTGAATAAGGATAGAACTCTGGAGAGGAGTCAGATAGGAGGGTAAACATATATGTGAAGACCCTTCCAATCTTGAAAGAATGTGACCACCCCCAGAATTAGTGGGTGAGGAATGGGAGACCAAAGGGAAGAAAAGTTGGCATTCCAGTGGGTGGTGAAGGCATATATAAGGTGTACCCAGCTGAGAACACACCCACCTAAAGACATGTGAAGGACCATTCCATGAGGAGAATCTTGTTGGAAGGAGATAAATGATCTATCTCTAGATTCAGGTAGCCAGGAAAAAGGCAAGCCAAGACCACAATGTCGTGTTTGTAGGCCCAGAAAGGAGATCCAGGTTCCGAAAACACAGAGATCTGGAATTGGTACAGAAGAAGAAATCACCAGCTGAACATATGAATCTAACTCCCTGTGAAATAAGGCCTGTACCTCATCTGCAGGTAAAGTCGAACCCCTTTCATAAGAAATCGTACCAGTAGCGTTATCGACGGGAACGGGAATTTCTGTAGTCAATACATTGATCACAAATTCATATCAAGATCACTTATAATTCCGTAACAAGAAATAAATTCAAAAAACAAAATTGTTGAAACAAGTGAATTCAAACACAGTAAAATAAAACTGTTGAAAAAAAAAATTGAAATGGCAAAGATGCATGTTCATAAGCAGTAGCCACATGCAAAAAAAACACTTCTAAACAATGTTCTGCCAGTTGAAAATGTGAGGTTTGAGTAGGAATAGCAGAGGGAGTTAGTTGCACCAATATAGGTGGCACAATACTATTGGTGAAGAGTAGTCATGTGATACATACATCTTCAGAAATAGTGAGAAATTGATGGGGTATACAGACTGGTGTGCTGATAGCAAAAATGTTTTTAGCAATGCTTAGAGGGCAGAAAAATATCAAGATAGCTGTGTGTGAAAGGAGGTAAGACCATACTGGAAAAACAATGATGAGGATTATGATATTACTGGAGAACAAACCTGGTTTGTAAAGATCACATACCTCTGGATTTTCATTAAGCCAATCATCAATTCCTCCTGAAGATGTTCGTATGTAGATTTGTAAGTCATGACCTCCAATGATTCGGGGTAGCATCCTATTTCCTGCATGTTCAACTTTTTTAAATTTCTTAAAGTTCTTCACTGGCCTTTTAGGATCATCAGGATGATCTGTGGGAATCCAGCATGGCCTACTTCTTACGTGATGAACCAATGATAGATATTCAGTTTGAAGCACTTTGCAAGGAAGTAACTCATCAAAATTGTTGTAGTTATCTTCTCTTTTAATATGAGGAACCTGAGAAAAAAATCAAAGGTGGAAGCAAGCAACTGTTTAAGAACAACAGTGAACATTAAATAGCTAAATGACAGTGATACACATATTTTGGTCAGTTGAGTATTTTGTACACAGTACTTGGTCTGTGGCAAATTTTGGTACAAGAAATAACACATTACGGCACAATGTACAGTTTGAAATCCTCACCATCTCTATCAGTCTATAGTGTGGTATATTAAAAATCAAGTATTTCCACACAATCAATCCCGAGTCAAACTTATTGTTGTAGTGCCTTGCTAACAAATACTAGTACACAGATGGTGGAGTATTTGTCCGTGTTCAATACTAAGCTGAGGAAATAATAATAAAAAGAGATTGGAACAGAAAATATGGCACCCAAATTCAAACTAGTGGTCATTCAATCCTGAGACAAGGATGATCCCTATTTGTGAGAGAGGAACGTTATGATTATATGAATTATTAAAAAGGGCCATATTAGCAATTGCTAGAGGGTTAATCCTTTATCTCAGTTCATAGAGCACTTTAATTAACCCTAATGAAACTAGTGGATAAAATTCATTTAAATTTAAATGAAAGGTCATATAAGTATGTAGTTTTTGAAAAATATTTAATTTAGATTTTTTCTAAAGCAATGTTTTTCCCATGCCTTTTTTCTTTTCTATGTTGCCTATCCAACATGTAAAGTAATTTTCATTTTAAGATTAAAAATACTTTAATGCATCAGAAAATTTTCAAATTTCACATGCAAAATCCTTATAATGTCCAGATAGTTATCAAATGTTTCTTAAGAAGACATTTATATTTTATCTGTTATTTTGACTAACGAATATGTGTACAAGTTCGGTTGATTTGATTGTTCTCATAACCACCATAAAAAATTAGCAAATAAATATAAATTATGCCTTTTTTATTTTAGAATGACTACAGATTACAACACAAAAACATAGAAAGTTCATATTTTATATTCTAGCTTGTCAATATCAGTAATTTGAGTTCCTAATTGATACAAAACTACAGAATTTGTATTTTGACATCACAAACATCTAATATGAACCAGTGCTGCATTCAACAAACCACGTCACACAAAAATTTATGTTTAGGTGTGTTTTTTTTTAATATTTACTTTTAAATTAAGAAATTAAATAATGTATAGTACTAAAACTTGAATTATAATCTACAGTTTGATACCAAACTTAATGACATAAATTCATAAAACAGTACTTCAATAAACTTTTGAATGCGAGTCAACAAATGCAATGACATGGCCTTTGACCCGTGAGGATAGGGTTAATGGTAAACGACAGGTCCCACATTGATATTCTTCTTAAGAAAGACAAACAAATAGCATGATGACTTTTCACTAATTACAGCTTGCACAAATATTACAAAAAATTATTGGTTATGAAACATTATAATCTAATTAACAATCCACTCTGATGAATCCCCATTCTGAAACTCCTGAATTTAAGCAAATGAATTACTCTCCCATGCTACATAACCCAACTTCCATACTATGAAACTTGGAGAATTTTAACATGCTATATAAACTTTGATAAGAGCTGAGGAAAAAAATATTCTTAAGTCTCTGGTCGTTAGTTAATTTCCCGTATAATTTCTTTCCAATGAAACTTTAGCGACACAAGTCCTTTCTTAAATAAAACTAGTTTATTCTTTCTCAATACAACTTTGAAATTTACTTAATTTCCACAGTCACGCTATAACAAACGCTATAATTCACAACGAACGAATCACATGCTCGACTCAATTGTCAGTCTCTATGTCTGTCTGCAGTTCAATTACATTGTTGCTGTCAGTTCTTGGCAGTCTTATATACAAGAACACCGCATATCTAGTAAACACTCGAGGCTTCACGAAGGGACACGAACGTTCTAGAAGCTCATGACGTGTTACCAGCGTCACATGACTTCTGCTGTTTTAACAATATCTAAAAAACAAACACTACTGTTGTGAAAAAGTTTACATTTTTATAGGTGGACTGAATTGGAAATTCAAATGTCTTTCACTGCACACATATATTCAGGCAAGATAAGTTGTAAGTCATAAGTGAACACTTAATATATTGTATAGATTATCAGAACACCACACATTGTAATGATTATTGGAATTATATATATTGTAGTGATTATTGGAACTTTACATATAGTAATGACTATTGGAATTTTATATACGGTAGTGATTATTGGAACTTTACATACTGTAGTGATTATTGGAACTTTACATAGTGTAATGATTATTGGAATTTTACATAGTGTAATGATTATTGGAACTTTACATATAGTAATGATTATTGGAATTTTACATATAGTAATGATTATTGAAACTTTACATATAGTAATGATTATTGAAACTTTACATATAGTAATGATTATTGGAACTTTACATATAATAATGATTATTGGAACTTTACATATAGTAATGATTATTGTAACTTTACATATAGTAATGATTATTGGAACTTTACATATAATAATGATTATTGGAACTTTACATATAGTGATGATTATTGGAACTTTACATATAGTGATGATTATTGGAACTTTACATATAGTGATGATCATTGGAACTTTACATATAGTAATGATTATTGGAACTTTACACACAGTAATGATTATTGGAACTTTACACACAGTAATGATCATTGGAACTTTACATATAGTAATGATTATTGGAACTTTACACACAGTAATGATTATTGGAACTTTACATATAGTGATGATTATTGGAACTTTACATATAGTGATGATCATTGGAACTTTACATATAGTGATGATCATTGGAACTTTACATATAGTGATGATTATTGGAACTTTACATATAGTGATGATTATTGGAACTTTACACACAGTAATGATTATTGGAACTTTACATATAGTGATGATTATTGGAACTAAAATACTATAATAAAAAGGTTTTTATGTCATGTTGTTTAGCAACAAAAGTATAACCTAAAATTGTTGTTAGTTTATGTACTGAAAGTATAAAATGAAATGTACAGACAACAAAACTGGAAAAATATTTGTTGATTTCTTAATTTAGTCTCCGTTAAAGAGATTTGTTTTTTATTAAAAACGTCGTGATATAAAACAACTTAATTCAGAAATGATATAAGTTTAAAATTGAAAATATTTTTATTTTGATGATAAATTTTATAAACTTGGCATTAGATTAAGTGATCCCACACTAAGTCTTTACTTTAAGATTTCACAGCCCCCTTGCACCCCCATCATTAAAATTGTAATGGGCAGACAGTAACTGAACTATGCTCTTTGGATAAATACATTTTGGCTTTTATGACTCCTCCTATTTTGAGAAATTAAGCATGATGTGATGTGACACACACTGGATTTTATACAAGTTACATTTATTACAGGTACAACATTGATTTTACGGCACCCTTGGTTCCAGAGCCTTGCCGGATTATCCATTTTGACAGACCATCAGAGTTCTACCTTGCCTGGCATCGATATGGACTTGTGCTTATGCTTGACACCACCACTGTCACTTGGACCTTGCTTAGAAGCCATAACTAGGGTTAAATGTAAGCAAAATAAGCTAAGAGTCACACAAAACCAAGAGATCACCACCACCAACTACTGCATATGCAAACAATTAACTCTTTTGGGATGAAGGCATATGATGCCATCTTTAAATTCTCTCTCTGTTGACATAAATAAAAAATTTAATTAAACAACTTTCTTTAAATATTTTTTCAGAAAAATTTTTATTTGCAATTACGTTATATTTTGAATTTTCATACACTATTATCAACATTCTGTGTTGTAAAAAATTGAAAAAAAATCAAAACTAAATATTTGTATCTTGTTAAACTACATTTCCTTGGCAACATTAATGAAAAAATTCAAACAATTTGATCAACTAGTTTAATATTTATAAGAAGATGTTTACGAGAGTGACGTATATATATTTAAAATGTAAGTAGCCCATTTCAAAAGAGCACGCACCACACGCAATGCCATCTGTGGCCGCCAAGTGAACTAGTCTGGGGGTTGCAGGAATTTCAAGTGCACTCTCTTGATTTTGTCCAGATTAAATGAGGTGCCGGACCATCAGTTGCCGGAAAATCAGTGGTGTACTGTAATGTGATTTCTGTTTACTGTTACACATGCTAATATTTATCATATTTATTACTGTGACCTTTGTTTACCATTATACTGTTAGTGTGACTTCTGTACAGTGTTTTATCTATTAGTAAGACTTGTTTATCATCTTATCTGTAACTTGACTTGTTTACTTTAAGACTGTAATATGTTAGTAATTTCTGAAACACAGGCACAGACTGTGGTTGGAAATACAATCATGTGATAAATTACATTTTTGGTGCCCACAATTTGTTCATATCGAGCTACATCATTATTTAAATAAAGTTAACCCTCAATTCAGTTTTAATAACTTTTGAGATATTGAAGTCATTTTTAAACTTTACCTGATTTGATGTAACAGTTGTTAGAAACCCATGGGGGATTTCACCTGTAAAGCTTAGTAAATTCTGGGGGATTTACCTGATTTGATGTTACAGTTGTTAGAAACCCATGGGGGATTTCATCTGTAAAGCTTAGTAAATTCTGGGGGATTTACCTGATTTGATGTAACAGTTGTTAGAAACCCATGGGGGATTTCACCTGTAAAGCTTAGTAAATTCTGGGGGATTTACCTGATTTGATGTAACAGTTGTTAGAAACCCATGGGGGATTTCACCTGTAAAGCTTAGTAAATTCTGGGGGATTTACCTGATTTGATGTTACAGTTGTTAGAAACCCGTGGGGGATTTCACCTGTAAAGCTTAGTAAATTCTCCTGATCCTTTTCCATTGATACTCCTTTGTCATGAACCTGAGGAACAAATAAGGATAACTTTGATGTTTGTTTAGATCAGTTTATCAGATTCAGTACCAAGTGTAATTTTTCTATAAAATAATATGTGTACAATCTGATGAAAGCTCAAAACATCATTCTTCCTTAAATAAAAAATATATAAAAACTTGGCAGTTGTTTAACCTATTATTTCATTTTGATATATTTGTCATCTATGTGGTTTCAACTATTTGTTTCTTTTAATTTTTCTTTACATCAGTCTCAACAGACTAATACTATATTTTCTTAAAATCAATCTAAATGAAACAATCTTAAAGGACAAACCATAAAAATTTTTCAAGCTATAACAGCAAGGTTTCTTTCAAGGAAATTTCACGTGAACCTCCTTTCAATAAGTAACACATTAATTCTGCATTAAAGAATTTTGTTTCTTATTCACCACAAAGCTACAAAATGGTCTATCTCTGTTGTGTTTAACTCTGTTTTTATCATCATAAGCCTTTAATTACTAACCAAATGTTCTTTAGGGAAACGATCTTAATTACTAACCAAATGTTCTATAGGGAAATGATCTTAATTACTAACCAAATGTTCTATAGGGAAATGATCTTAATTACTAACCAAATGTTCTATAGGGAAAGACAGAAACTGAATGTTACATTGATCAGGGAAAAGCTCACATAGTCATGTTTTCTTTTGAGTTTAAAAATTTATTGAAACGAATTACAGTTAATTCAATAAGCAAGCTGCATTATAGCTGTTCTCTCAAGGTTGATAGGGATTATATATTTTCTTTAATAAGTGTTCCAGTGGCTCAGTAATAAGTTGGGGAAAGAGGACTCAATATGAAAAAAACTGGCGTGTAATGTTTTTATGTAGAATACAACTACCCTGACAGAAAGTTAAAACTAGTCCCTTTTTTAAAAGAATGGGTGTATTCTGAAATCTTTAGTTAAGAACAACTATGAAATCAAAAATGTATATAAAAATTATACTATTTTTAGATGGAACAATTTAAAATTACAGATAATAATAATATTGAATCACATCTTCTGGCTGCTTTTTCAAGCCTAATTTCTAAGGTCAGTATTTCCAATTAGATGATACTGCCAGGCTGAGAAACAGTTTAATTAGTGTACAAAGACTATTTGACAAGTTTTCTCAAGAGCAAAACAAGTTAAAATGAAAATTTAGGAACAGGAATGTAAATAATAATAATAATCCATGAGCTAAAACAAGATAAAAGTGATAATTCAGTAAAATTATATACAAGAGAATAGCGGGTCAGTAGGATTGAATGTCAGGCTTAGATCAATATGTAGGTATGAGCAAATAAGATGGTTGGATTTGTGGGATAATTTTAATGGGAAAGTTAATCCTTTTTGAGTGGATGGTTTACAGTTAAACATGGCATGTTAGAAAGGGCTATTAACTCAGCTGTAGTGGTAGATTTAAACTAGGGCTAGACCAGTGGTCGGCAACCTTTTTTGATCGCGGGTCAATTATTTTTTTGAAAAATTTAGCATTGTGTTGGGT